GACACAAGCATGCGACCGGACACAAGCATGCGACCGGACACAAGCATGCGACCGGACACAAGCATGCGACCGGACACAACCATGCGTCCGTACACAAGCATGCGACCGGACACAAGCATGCGACCGGACTCAAGCATGCGTCCGGACACAAGCATGCGTCCGGACACAAGCATGCGTCCGGACACAAGCATGCGTTCGGACTCAAGCATGCGTCCGGACTCAAGCATGCGTCCGGACACAATCATGCGTCCGGACACAAGCATGCGACCGGACACAAGCATGCGACCGGACACAAGCATGCGTCCGGACACAAGCATGCGACCGGGCACAAGCATGCGACCGGGCACAAGCATGCGTCCGGACACAAGCATGCGACCGGACTCAAGCATGCGTCCGGACACAAGCATGCGACCGGACACAAGCATGCGTCCGGACACAAGCATGCGTCCGGACATAAGCATGCGACCAGACTCAAGCATGCGGTCGGACACAAGCATGCGACCGGACACAAGCATGCGTCCGGACACAAGCATGCGTCCGGACACAAGCATGCGTACGGACACAAGCATGCGACCGGACTCAAGCATGCGTCCGGACACAAGCATGCGTCCGGACACAAGCATGCGTCCGGACACAAGCATGCATCCGAACACAAGCATGCGTCTGGACACAAGCATGCGTCCGGACACAAGCATGCGTCCGGACACAAGCATGCGACCGGACTCAAGCATGCGTCCGGACACAAGCATGCGTCTGGACACAAGCATGCGTCCGGACACAAGCATGCGTCCGGACACAAGCATGCGACCGGACACAAGCATGCGTCCGGACACAAGCATGCGTCCGGACACAAGCATGCGACCGGACTCAAGCATGCGGTCAGACACGAGCATGCGACCGGACACAAGCATGCGTCCGGACACAAGCATGCGTCCGGACACAAGCATGCGACCGGACTCAAGCATGCGTCCGGACACAAGCATGCGTACGGACACAAGCATGCGTCCGGACACAAGCATGCGTCCGGACACAAGCATGCGACCGGACACAAGCATGCGTCGGTACACAAGCATGCGTCCGGACACAAGCATGCGTCCGGACACAAGCATGCGACTGGACTCAAGCATGTGGTCGGACACAAGCATGCGACCGGACACAAGCATGTGTCCGGACACAAGCGTGCGACCGGACTCAAGCATGCGTCCGGACACAAGCATGCGTCCGGACACAAGCTTGCGTCTGGACACAAGCATGCGTCCGGACACAAGCATGCGTCCGGACACAAGCATGCGACCGGACACAAGCATGCGTCCGGACACAAGCATGCGTCCGGACACAAGCATGCGTCCGGACACAAGCATGCGTCCGGACACAAGCATGCGACCGGACACAAGCATGTGTCCGGACACAAGCATGCGTCCGCACACAAGCATGCGTCGGACACAAGCATGCGTCCGGACACAAGCATGCGTCCGGACACAAGAATGCGTCCGGACACAAGCATGCGTCCAAACACAAGCATGCGTCCGGACACAAGCATGCGTCCGGACACAAGCATGCGTCCGGACACAAGCATGCGTCCGGACACAAGCATGCGACCGGACACAAGCATGCTGTCGGACACAAGCATGCAACCGGACACAAGCATGCGTCCGGACACAAGCATGCGTCTGTACACAAGCATGCGTCAGGACACAAGCATGCGACGGGACTCAAGCATGCGTCCGGACACAAGCATGCGTCCGGACACAAGCATGCGTCCGGACTCAAGCATGCATCCGGACACAAGCATGCGTCCGGACACAAGCATGCGTCCGGAAAAGCATGCGTCCGGACACAAGCATGCGTCCGGACACAAGCATGCGTCCGGACACAAGCATGCGACCGGACACAAGCATGCGTCCGGACACAAGCATGCGTCCCGACACAAGCATGCGTCCGGACACAAGCATGCGTCCGGACACAAGCATGCGTCCGGACACAAGCATGCGTCCGTACACAAGCATGCGTCCGAACACAAGCATGCGTCCCGACACAAGCATGCGACCGGACACAAGCATGCGTTCGGACACAAGCATGCGTCCGGACACAAGCATGCGTCCGGACACAAGCATGTGTCCGGACACAAGCATGCGACCGGACACAAGCATGCTGTCGGACACAAGCATGCGACCGGACACAAGCATGCGTCCGGACACAAGCATGCGTCTGTACACAAGCATGCGTCCGGACACAAGCATGCGACCGGACTCAAGCATGCGTCCGGACATAAGCATGCGTCCGGACACAAGCGGGCACAAGCATGCGTCCGGACACAAGCACGCGACCGGACTCAAGCATGCGTCCGGACACAAGCATGCGACCGGACACAAGCATGCGTCTGGACACAAGCATGCGTCCGGACACAAGCATGCGTCCGGACTCAAGCATGCGTCTGGACACAAGCATGCGTCCGGACACAAGCATGCGTCCGTACACAAGCATGCGTCCGGACACAAGAATGCGACCGGACTCAAGCATGCGTCCGGACACAAGCATGCGTCCGGACACAAGCATGCGTCCGGACACAAGCATGCGTCCGGACACAAGCATGCGTCCGAACACAAGCATGCGTCCGGACACAAGCATGCGACCGGACACAAGCATGCGACCGGGCACAAGCATGCGTCCGGACACAAGCATGCGTCCGGACACAAGCATGCGTCAGACACAAGCATGCGTCCTGACACAAGCATGTGTCCGGACACAAGCATGCGTCCGAACACAAGCATGCGTCCGGACACAAGCATGCGACCGGACACAAGCATGCGACCGGGCACAAGCATGCGTCCGGACACAAGCATGCGTCCGGACACAAGCATGCGTCGGACACAAGCATGCGTCCGGACACAAGCATGCGTCCGGACACAAGCATGCGTCCGGACACAAGCATGCGTCCGGACACAAGCATGCGTCCGAACACAAGCATGCGTCCGTACACAAGCATGCGTCCGAACACAAGCATGCGACCGGACTCAAGCATGCGACCGGACTCAAGCATGCGTCCGGACACAAGCATGCGTCCGGGCACAAGCATGCGTCCGGACACAAGCATGCGACCGGACTCAAGCATGCGTCCGGACACAAGCATGCGTCCGGACACAAGCATGCGTCCGGACACAAGCATGCGTCCGGACACAAGCATGCGACCGGACTCAAGCATGCGTCCGGACACAAGCATGCATCTGGACACAAGCATGCGTCCGGACACAAGCATGCGACCGGACTCAAGCATGCGTCCGGACACAAGCATGCGACCGGACACAAGCATGCGTCCGGACACAAGCATGCGTTCGGACACAAGCATGCGACCGGACTCAAGCATGCGGTCGGACACAAGCATGCGACCGGACACAAGCATGCGTCCGGACACAAGCATGCGTCCGGACACAAGCATGCGTCCGGACACAAGCATGCGACCGGACTCAAGCATGCGTCCGGACACAAGCATGCGTCCGGACACAAGCATGCGTCCGGACACAAGCATGCGTCCGGACACAAGCATGCGACCGGACACAAGCATGCGTCCGGACACAAGCATGCGTCCGTACACAAGCATGCGTCCGGACACAAGCATGCGTCCAGACACAAGCATGCGACCGGACTCAAGCATGCGTCCGGACACAAGCATGCGTCCGGACACAAGCATGCGTCCGGACACAAGCATGCGTCCGGACACAAGCATGCGCCCGGACACAAGCATGCGTCCGGACACAAGCATGCGTCCGGACACAAGCATGCGTCCGGACACAAGCATGCGACCGGACACAAGCATGCGACCGGGCACAAGCATGCGTCCGGACACAAGCATGCGTCCGGACACAAGCATGCGTCCGGGCACAAGCATGCGTCCGGACACAAGCATGCGACCGGACTCAAGCATGCGTCCGGACACAAGCATGCGTCCGGACACAAGCATGCGTCCGGACACAAGCATGCGACGGGACTCAAGCATGCGTCCGGACACAAGCATGCGTCCGGACACAAGCATGCGTCCGGACACAAGCATGCGACCGGACTCAAGCATGCGTCCGGACACAAGCATGCGACCGGACACAAGCATGCGTCCGGACACAAGCATGCGTCCAGACACAAGCATGCGACCAGACTCAAGCATGCGGTCGGACACAAGCATGCGACCGGACACAAGCATGCGTCCGGACACAAGCATGCGTCCGGACACAAGCATGCGTCCGGACACAAGCATGCGTCCGAACACAAGCATGCGTCCGTACACAAGCATGCGTCCGAACACAAGCATGCGACCGGACTCAAGCATGCGACCGGACTCAAGCATGCGTCCGGACACAAGCATGCGTCCGGGCACAAGCATGCGTCCGGACACAAGCATGCGACCGGACTCAAGCATGCGTCCGGACACAAGCATGCGTCCGGACACAAGCATGCGTCCGGACACAAGCATGCGTCCGGACACAAGCATGCGACCGGACTCAAGCATGCGTCCGGACACAAGCATGCATCTGGACACAAGCATGCGTCCGGACACAAGCATGCGACCGGACTCAAGCATGCGTCCGGACACAAGCATGCGACCGGACACAAGCATGCGTCCGGACACAAGCATGCGTTCGGACACAAGCATGCGACCGGACTCAAGCATGCGGTCGGACACAAGCATGCGACCGGACACAAGCATGCGTCCGAACACAAGCATGCGTCCGGACACAAGCATGCGTCCGGACACAAGCATGCGACCGGACTCAAGCATGCGTCCGGACACAAGCATGCGTCCGGACACAAGCATGCGTCCGGACACAAGCATGCGTCCGGACACAAGCATGCGACCGGACACAAGCATGCGTCCGGACACAAGCATGCGTCCGTACACAAGCATGCGTCCGGACACAAGCATGCGTCCAGACACAAGCATGCGACCGGACTCAAGCATGCGTCCGGACACAAGCATGCGTCCGGACACAAGCATGCGTCCGGACACAAGCATGCGTCCGTACACAAGCATGCGTCCGGACACAAGCATGCGTCCGGACCCAAGCATGCGACTGGACGTGGACGTGGACGTGGACGTGGACGTGGACGTGGACATGGACATGGACGTGGTCGTGGACGTGGACGTGGACGTGGACGTGGACGTGGACATGAACGTGGACGTGGACATGGACGTGGACGTGGACGTGGACGTGGACGTGGACGTGGACCTGGACGTGGACGTGGACGTGGACGTGGACGTGGACGTAGAAATGGACGTGGATGTGGACGTGGACGTGGACGTGGACATGGACGTGGACGTGGACGTGGACGTGGACGTAGATGTGGACGTGGACGTTGACATGGACGTGGACGTGGACATGGACGTGGACGTGGACGTGGACGTAGACATGGACGTGGACGTGGACGTGGACATGGACGTGGACATGAACGTGGACATGGACGTGGACGTGGACATGGACATGGACGTGGACGTGGACGTGGACATGGACGTGGACGTGGACATGGACGTGGACGTGGACGTGGACGTAGACGTGGACGTGGACGTGGACGTGGACGTGGACATGGACATGGACGTGGTCGTGGACGTGGACGTGGACGTGGACGTGGACGTGGACATGAACGTGGACGTGGACATGGACGTGGACGTGGACGTGGACGTGGACGTGGACATGGACGTGGACATGGACGTGGACATGGACATGGACGTGGACATGGACGTGGACGAGGACGTGGACGTGGACATGGACGTGAACATGGACGTGAACGTGGACATGGACATGGACGTGGACGTGGACGTAGAAATGGACGTGGACGTGGACGTGGACGTGGACGTGGACGTGGACGTGGACGTGGACATGGACGTGGACATGGACGTGGACGTGGACGTGGACATGGACGTGGACGTGGACGTGGACGTGGACATGACGTGGACGTGGACATGGACGTGGACGTGGACGTGGACGTGGACGTGGACGTGGACGTGGACGTGGACATGGACGTGGACGTGGACATGGACGTGGACGTGGACGTGGACGTGGACGTGGACGTGGACCTGGACGTGGACGTGGACGTGGACGTGGACGTGGACGTGGACGTGGACCTGGACGTGGACGTGGACGTGGACGTTGACGTGGACGTGGACGTGGACGTGGACGTGGACGTGGACGTGGACGTGGACTTGGACGTGGACGTGGACGTGGACGTGGACGTGGACGTGGACGTGGACGTGGACGTGGACGTGGACGTGGACATGGACGTGGACATGGACATGGACGTGGACGTGGACGTGGACGTGGACGTGGACGTGGACGTGGACGTGGACATGGACATGGACGTGGACGTGGACGTGGACGTGGACGTGGACGTGGACGTGGACATGGACGTGGACGTGGACATGGACGTGGACGTGGACGTGGACGTGGACGTGGACGTGGACGAGGACGTGGACGTGGACGTGGACGTGGACGTGGACGTGGACGTGGACGTGGACATGGACGTGGACGTGGACGTGGACGTGGACGTGGACGTGGACATGGGACGTGGACGTGGACGTGGACGTGGACGTGGACGTGGACGTGGACGTGGACGTGGACGTGGACGTGGACGTGGACGTGGACGTGGACGTGGACGTGGACGTGGACGTGGACTGGACATGGACGTGGACGTGGACGTGGACGTGGACGTGGACATGGACGTGGACGTGGACGTGGACGTGGACCTGGACGTGGACGTGGACGTGGACGTGGACGTGGACGTGGACATGGACGTGGACGTGGACGTGGACGTGGACGTGGACGTGGACATGGACGTGGACGTGGACGTGGACGTGGACGTGGACGTGGACATGGACGTGGACGTGGACGTGGACGTGGACGTGGACGTGGACCTGGACGTGGACGTGGACGTGGACGTGGACGTGGACGTAGACATGGACGTTGACGTGGACGTGGACGTGGACGTGGACGTGGACGTGGACGTAGACGTGGACGTGGACGTGGACGTGGACGTGGACGTGGACGTGGACGTGGACGTGGACGTGGACGTGGACGTGGACGTAGAAATGGACATGGACGTGGACGTGGACATGGACGTGGACGTGGACGTGGACATGGACGTGGACATGGACGTGGACATGGGCATGGACGTGGACGTGGACGTGGACGTGGACGTGGACGTGGACATGGACGTGGACGTGGACGTGGACGTAGAAATGGACGTGGACGTGGACGTGGACATGGACGTGGACGTGGACGTGGACGTGGACCTGGACGTGGACGTGGACGTGGACGAGGACGTGGACGTGGACGTGGACGTGGACGTGGACGTGGACGTGGACATGGACGTGGACGTGGACGTGGACATGGACGTGGACGTGGACATGGACGTGGACATGGACGTGGACGTGGACGTGGACGTGGACGTGGACGTGGACATGGACGTGGACGTGGACGTGGACGTGGACGTGGACGTGGACGTGGACGAAGAAATGGACGTGGACGTGGACGTGGACGTGGACATGGACGTGGACGTGGACGTGGACATGGACGTGGACGTGGACGTGGACGTGGACGTGGACGTGGACGTGGACATGGACGTGGACGTGGACGTGGACATGGACGTGGACGTGGACATGGACGTGGACATGGACGTGGACGTGGACATGGACGTGGATGTGGACGTGGACATGGACGTGGACATGGACATGGACGTGGACATGGACGTGGACGTGGACGTGACCTTGAACTGGACCAGGGACTGGACGTAGACGTGGACGTGGACGTGGACATGGACGTGGACGTGGACATGGACGTGGACGTGGACATGGACGTGGACGTGGACGTAGACGTGGACGTGGACGTAGACGTGGACGTGGACATGGACGTGGACGTAGACGTGGACGTGGACGTGGACATGGACGTGGACGTAGACATAGACGTGGACGTGGACGTGGACATGGACATGGACGTAGACGTGGACGTGGACATGGACGTGGACGTAGACATGGACGTGGACGTGGACGTGGACTTGGACTTGGACGTGGACGTGGACGTGGACGTGGACGTGGACATGGACGTGGACGTGGACGTGGACGTGGACGTAGAAATGGACGTGGACGTGGACGTGGACGTGGACGTGGACATGGACGTGGACGTGGACAAGGACGTGGACGTGGACGTGGACGTGGACGTGGACGTGGACGTGGACGTGGACGTGGACGTGGACGTGGACGAGGACGTGGACGTGGACGTGGACGTGGACGTGGACGTGGACGTGGACGTGGACGTTGACGTGGACATGGACGTGGACGTGGACATGGACGTGGACGTGGACATGGACGTGGACGTGGACGTGGACATGGACGTGGACGAGGACATGGACGTGGACGTGGACATGGACGTGGACGTGGACGTGGACGTGGACGTGGACATGGACGTGGACGTGGACGTGGACGTGGACGTGGACGTGGACGTGGACGTGGACATGGACGTCGTGGACGTGGACGTGGACGTGGACGTGGACATGGACGTGGACGTGGACGTGGACATGGACGTGGACGTGGACGTGGACGTAGACGTGGACGTGGACGTGGACGTGGACGTGGACGTGGACATGGACATGGACGTTGACGTGGACGTGGACGTGGACGTGGACGTGGACGTGGACATGGACGTGGACATGGACGTGGACGTGGACGTGGACGTGGACGTGGACATGGACGTGGACGTGGACATGGACGTGGACGTGGACATGGACTTGGACATGGACGTGGACGTGGACGTGGACATGGACGTGGACGTGGACGTGGACGTGGACGTGGACATGGACGTTGACGTGGACGTGGACGTGGACGTAGACGTGGACGTGGACCTGGACGTGGACCTGGACGTGGACGTAGACGTGGACGTGGACGTGGACGTGGACATGGACGTGGACGTGGACGTGGACGTGGAAATGGACGTGGACGTGGACGTGGACATGGACGTGGACGTGGACGTGGACGTTAACATGGACGTAGACGTGGACGTGGACGTGGACGTGGACGTGGACGAGGACGTGGACGTGGACGTGGACGTGGCCGTGGACGTGGACATGGACGTGGACGTGGACGTGGACGTGGACGTAGAAATGGACGTGGACGTAGACGTGGACATGGACATGGACGTAGACGTGGACGTGGACGTGGACGTTGACGTGGACATGGACGTGGACGTGGACATGGACGTGGACGTGGACGTGGACGTGGACGTGGACGTGGACATAGACGTGGACATGGACGTAGACGTGGACATGGACATGGACGTAGACGTGGACGTGGACGTGGACGTGGACATGGACGTGGACATGGACGTAGACGTGGACGTGGACGTGGACATGGACGTGGACGTAGAAATGGACGTGGACGTAGACGTGGACATGGACGTGGACGTAGACGTGGACGTGGACGTGGAAGTGGACGTGGACATGGACGTGGACATGGACATGGACGTGGACGTGGACGTGGACGTGGACGTGGACGTGGACTTGGACGTGGACGTGGACGTGGACGTGGACGTGGACGTGGACGTGGACATGGACGTGGACTTGGACGTGGACGTGGACGTGGACGTGGACGTGGACGAGGACGAGGACGTGGACGTGGACGTGGACGTGGACGTGGACGTGGACACGGACGTGGACGTGGACGTGGACACGGACGTGGACATGGACGTGGACGTGGACATGGACGTGGACGTGGACATGGACGTGGACGTGGACGTGGACATGGACGTGGACGAGGACATGGACATGGACGTGGACATGGACGTGGACGTGGACGTGGACGTGGACATGGACGTGGACGTGGACGTGGACGTGGACGTGGACATGGACGTGGACATGGACGTGGACACGAACGTGGACATGGACGTGGACGTGGACATGGACGTGGACGTGGACATGGACGTGGACGTGGACGTGGACATGGACGTGGACGAGGACATGGACATGGACGTGGACATGGACGTGGACGTGGACGTGGACGTGGACGTGGACATGGACGTGGACGTGGACGTGGACGTGGACGTGGACATGGACGTCGTGGACGTGGACGTGGACGTGGACGTGGACGTGGACATGGACGTGGACATGAGTGGACGTGGACGTGGACGTGGACATGGACGTGGACGTGGACATGGACGTAGACATGGACGTGGACGTGGACGTGGACGTGGACGTAGACATGGACGTGGACATGGACGTGGACGTGGACATGGACGTGGACGTGGACGTGGACGTGGACGTGGACGTGGACGTGGACGTGGACGTGGACGTGGACGTGGACGTGGACGTGGACGTGGACGTGGACGTGGACATGGACGTGGACGTGGACGTGGACGTGGACGTGGACGTGGACGTGGACATGGACGTGGACGTGGACGTAGAAATGGACGTGGACATAGACGTGGACATGGACATGGACGTAGACGTGGACGTGGACGTGGACGTGGACGTGGACATGGACATGGACGTGGACGTGGACGTGGACGTGGACATGGACGTGGACGTGGACGTGGACGTGGACATGGACGTGGACATGGACGTAGACGTGGACATGGACATGGACGTAGACGTGGACGTGGACGTGGACGTGGACATGGACGTGGACGTGGACGTGGACGTGGACGTGGACATGGACGTGGACATGGACGTGGACATGGACGTGGACGTGGACATGGACGTGGACGTGGACATGGACGTGGACGTGGACGTGGACGTGGACGTGGACGTAGACGTGGACGTGGACATGGACGTAGACGTGGACGTGGACGTGGACGTGGACGTGGACGTATACGTGGACGTGGACGTGGACGTGGACGTGGACGTGGACGTGGACGTGGACGTGGACGTGGACATGGACGTGGACGTGGACGTGGACGTGGACGTGG